TGTGGACTTCCAGAAGAAAGCCCTCCTGTAGGTCTGGTTCACAAGCACATGGGACTGGTTTGGAGCGGAAGCGCTGGTTGCGGAAGTGGAGATGAAGGGTGAATGTAGAGCACACCTGACCAGGTAAAGGCTCTGGCTCCTGCAAGTGTTCCAGGAACGCCTTACCACCCAGAACTTGTAGGTAGAGGTATCTCCGTAGTGGACTGATGTTAGCTGGTGAAAGTTTTCAAAGGGTTAGTTCACTCAACAATGACAATTTCATCATGTAAACCTCGTTTTCTTTCTTCAGTGGGACACAAAAGATGGTAGACAGAAGGCTTACGTGGTTATTTTCCCAACCATGAAGGTGATATCAATACATCTTAGTCAGGTAGGGTAGAGGCTTACTTCATTTTTGACAGGAATGAAAATGTGACGGATAGAAGAACAGTACGTTCTGTTAAATTGTACTGTTGTTTAACAACATACCAATTGTTAAGCTGACGAAATAAAAAAAAAAAAAAACTTTCAGTAGACAAAAACTATAAAACACTTTTGAAAGTTGCATGCCATTTAAAAAAAAAATAAGTCTCTCTATCACACACTTGTTTTCATTTGTTAAATGGAATATCTTCGGACCTGACTAAAGTCTATTCCTCAAGACTTTTGTTTCTTTTTCAAAACATAAATGACGATATTTAATGAAACCTGATTATTAATAAATTCTGCCTCTCAATTGAAAGTCCATTTTCCTAAAACTTTGACGCTTCAAAAAATTGACGCTTCAAAAAAGCAATTTAGGTGTTTTGAAGAGACAAGTTCACTTTATATGATGAATAGATTTACTTTAGTCTATTAAGATTGACCAATGAGCACATCAAACCATGCCTGCTTGAATTTATGAACATAAAAATTTTGTGGAAAAGACTTTCAATTAAGGGACCGAAACCTCTCAGTTTTCATTAAAAAAAAAAAAGTCAACATTTGTGTTTCAAAGATAAACCAAAGTCTTATGTGTTTGGAATGACATCAGGTTGAGTAAATGGTGACCCTCACAAGCAAGCACTCACTTGTCTTCAGCTGTGTGACGTTCTGGTCCACAAAACGGGTCGCAGACTTGTTCACAGCATCGGCTTCAGTGTGAGAAACATCCTGGTGAGAAACCAACATTTATAAAGCTATTTATTTATTTATTTATTTTTACATTATATTTATTTATATTATATTTAGCTATTTATTTATAGTTTCATTTTGTAATCTCAATGTACTGTATGTATTAAGGTTCAAAAATCTGAATACTCATACCACATTTGTAAAGTGGAGATCTTTCATCACATCATCTACGATTCCCCTCCGCTGAAGAGCATGAATAAAGTCTTCCTCAGAGAGCGAGCGCTGTCCATGTGGTCCGTCACCCCTCACTGTCTCCGCTAAAACATCACGAATCTTACCATGGATATCCATCTGAAAATGGGTTAGTTGACAAATAACATTAAACTACTTTTTTTCCAAGAACAAGTTTTAGGTATGTATGCGTGTACAGGTTTAGCTATACTTGTGAGGGCCAAATGTCCTCACTTACATAGTGAAATATTTCTGAGATTGGTAGGTTTAGGGGTAGGGTAAGGATTGGAAGCTTTTTGGTCATAATTGACGGGCCAGCACTTCATCGTCACTAAAGTTTAAGCCTTGATAAGAAATCACAAGAGGGAGTTTATTTAGTTACTCGCACTCCGTGTGGAAAGTTTTGTGTGAGCAGCACACATTCGAAACACACCCAGAAAGCCACGTCAGACAGCATGTGAATACTAAATTGAGCTCTCTTTCGATTGAGAGTACAAATTAACACAAAATTCTGTAAAAAAACAAAAACAAACTGCGAGTTTCCTAATAAACATAGCCGGTTATAACGTAAACAGTTGAGAAAGACGCAGTATCAGTATATTAGATCCGTGCATTCACTCTTAAAGTTGCATTAAAGTGATAGTTCACTTTGAAATTAATTTTTGGTATGTTTTAGCTTACCTCAAGGGCATCTAAGATGTAGGTGTCTTTGTTTGCACAGTATTTTCAATTTTGATATTTTTAGGTCAAACCGTTTTTGTCTGTCAGTCATATAATGGAGGTCTATGGGGTCCACCTCAAAGAGCAAGCACAGAGAAGTCCAAATTAAACATGATTTAATGACTCGTAAATGTAAGATTACAAGATTTAAAAAATATAAAAATACTGTTCGTTTTCTCACACAAACCGCTCGTTTCGTGTCTTAGGCCATCAACGTGTACTTACATTTACAAGTCAATAAATCATGTTTAATTTGGACTTCTCTGTGCATGCTCTTTGAGGAGGACCCCATATACCTCCATTATATGACTGACAGACAAGAACGGTTTGACCTAAAAATATCAAAACTGAAAATACTGTGGAAACAAAGACACCTACATCTTGGATGCCCCTGAGGTAAGCTAACAAAAATGTATTTCAAAGTGTATCCCTTTAACTGTCTTTTAATATTAATCAAACAACTAAGGACAACAAAAAAATCACTCACTGCTCCTGACTGATTAATTTTTGCAACTTTAATACTTTAATAAGTAACTTTAATAAATGTGGATGTTTAATTTGTACAGTGAAGAGAAGACTATGCAGTGTTAATTTACATTTGCTTAGTTTATAACATTTCTGTAGGCACTACCTGAAAACTACTGTCTATTTCATTTGTATCTTTGTTATATTGTATTTATTTGTGATTTTGCTTGTAATTTAATACTTTGTTCTTGTTAAATTGTATTAGAGAAATGTTAATTTTCACTGGTATCTAAACTGTTGGTGTCATTACTGCCCGTTTTTGCAAAAACCATTTACCATTATGGCCGGGGCCGTAATACATTTCTTTTAGATCTTCAAAATGAATCTTAAATATGTATATAAAATTGTGTAAAACATGAATATAATGGGTTTTGACGTAAACAATTTACTCACAGTCACATACGGGCATAATTTACGTCATGATTTGCAAGTAAAAACGAACTGATCATCACCTTACCTTGATTAAATGGTCATGAATTATTTGCTTTAATTCAGTTGCTTTTTCTGGTGGCAGGGACATGTTTTCGAGCGTGAAAATACGACAGAAGTTTAATCTACAAGTTTATAACTAAGCATTTCAACGTCAAAGTCAACGTCTGCATTAAATGCGGGGATTTAACATATTCATTATCTTTATGTTGTTGTATTGCTGGATGTCAACGCCTCCTGCCTGCAACTGACATTTTAAATCCTGGCGGAAAGGCAAGCGGGAATCTGTCGACACAGCGCCTGTGTATATTCGCAGTTGATGTTTTAAAATACTCTAAAATCTGTAAAACAAAAAACAAATTAAATTACTTTAAAAAAAGATGATGTTCGTGAGCTTTAATATTAAACGAATTCAGAGATTATAGGAAATAATAACCTATTTTGTTTAAGTCAGGCACAGGGTTGACCCCTCTTCATCCTTAGGAAATTACGTCATGAAAAGTTGCCTCCTGGATCTTGTAGTTCTCGAAAGAATATTTAACGTTTTGCAGTTTCTGTAAAACTATAATGCAACTACTTTTATGGTGTCAAGACCTTTTATGGGAGAGTGTAGGCTACTTTTTGGCTTCACTGAATATGGAGAGGTTGAAAAGTGCATTTAATTAATTTACTTACATTTTTAACAGAATCTCACATTCACTTATGAATGTAAGTTTGCTAATAAACCAATTCTATGATTTTGTTGGAAACAATAAGCTACTCTTTGAATAAAGCTAGACTCTAAAGCTCAATTTTAATTTGATATAGTATACCTAATTGTACAGTTGTGATTTTTATATGTATTTTCTAGTTGCATTTAGTTTTCTTTTTTTTTTCTTTTTTTTCTATGCATAACTGTATAATGTTCAATATTTGCCAATGAACAAACAAAGGCTACTGTGTGATGTCAATGTTAATAAAAAAAAAACACTAAAATGGTTACCGAGTGCATTTTCAGTTACGGTATTCGAAGCCGTCCTTATTAAAAGTCCTCGCATAGCATTTTATTAGTTCCTTAAAACCTTCTTATACTGTCTATGCTTAAAACACACAGCTTTAAAATTCACGATTGCGTGAATGCGTAATTTATGTTATAAAACAAAACGTTCAAGTCTCAAATGTAAACCATAGACATTTTACACTTAAAACTGCTGTTCTAAAATCATATATAAAAAAATCCAGAAGTGCATGGCTTGCAAATGTGCATTCTCTTCAATCTGAGCTGACTTTAACATAAAAATGAAAGAAAAATATTTACGGAATATTTACGGTCAAATATTTACGGAAATACTTTTTTACGTCAATCTTTAATTATTTTAACAAAATTTTACATTCACATGCCAAGAATAACTCAAGCAACCCTCATATAAATGTACCTTTAAACCTGAGAACCAAATATAAACTAAAAAAAACGCAATATTTACAACAATTTAAAGAGCTTTTAAGAGGTCATCCCTTAAGCAAAACCTGGCTCCGATAAGACATTTTCCCGTATTTGTGACAAGTCAGCTGGGAGGAAAAGGATCGGTCTTTCCCGGTTGGTCACTTGGCTAGATGGAATGAAATTACCACTCCACCATTAGCCACTTCTGGAAATATTGGATCAATTCCTGGAACCATGGCAAGAACAGACATCTAATTTGACTCGCATTGATTCTGCTAAGTAATTGGCATTAAACCCACAATGAACAGTGTGAGGTAATGGGAGCTGGAAACAAACTTTGATCCTTGGAGAAGACGAAAATACATCGCTACAGGCTTAGTTTAGCATGCGTCGTCTAAATATTAACTCTAGTAGGCCTAACACTGCACTGAAGACATCTGTAAACATGGATCAAGTGAACTCTAACACAATCTGCATTTATTCGCACTCATCCGTCAGTTTTACCCCATCAATACCATTTTATAGATGCAAATGAGCGTGAACAGAGAAGCATATGCACACAGAAGATGCCAGAGACAAATAAACAGCAATGTTTCTTCTTTAGTAAAGAGTTTACTATGTACATTTTGAAAGTGGAAACCAGACCACTTATTACATTTGGCTGAATCTACAGTCAGTTTATTACTAGAAGATCCTGAGATGTGCATGTACGGAAACTCACTGGGCTTTGACCTACTGAAACAAATGAGTCACCCTATGAATATCCATGCGCAAACTTGAAGACAGAAGCATTTAATAAACTGACTCAGAAGGACCTGTGGGGGTCTATTTTAGTATAGCTTGCTTCCACCAGGGAACAAAAAAAATGAAAAGATAATTGTGACTTTTTAAAAATCACATAATTTTGACTATTTTTCTCTGCATTTCCATGTTTAAATCTCACAATTCAAACTTTTTTTCTCAGAATTGTGAGATTTAAAATTGCTATTTTGAGAAATCAAAATAATTCCGAGATATAAACTCACACTTGTGACTTTTCTTGCAGCTATAAAGCCGCAATTTTGAGAAATAAACTCGCAAAAAAGTCAGAATTGTGAGTCACAATTATCTTATTTATTTTGTGGCGGAAGCAAGCTACTATTTAACATTGCTCTGCGGATAAACAGACAAAATACTGTACAGTGAAATTTGCTAGGCCTCGAGAACTTGCCATGATGGAATTACAATAGCAGTTACAATGTAACTACATCATTCTTTACACTGTAATAACCACAACACAAACATTCAGTAACTCGTGTAGAATGTCCGGGATTGAATGCTTGTAAACACGATCATTCTACATGTTGTCCCTTATCTAAAAACATACAAGCACCTACTGATATGAGTACCATAATTTAGGTCCCTGGGCAAAATAAAAGTTAAGAGGAGGAATCTGGGGAACAAAATTGCATTACTGGGACAGAAAGGCCCAGCACATGCACAGTCCTAGTGCTAATGCAGCACCAGCACCGACATTTAGGAGGATTGGTCTCCAGAACTGCCAGTTCTCTTTCTTTTTCTCCGAATCGCTCAGTTTCAGCTTCATTTGCTGCAGCTTCTGTGCAGTGCTGGCTATTCGCTCCTCACGGTTCCTCTTGCGTAGGCTGGAAGAAACAGCAACACACACATGGTTAATTACTTCATATTTCCCTTCATAGAACAGAAAGAGGAGCAATTTTACTGATTCGAGTTGAACTATATCATTTAAAGGAGTAGTTCTCTTTAAAAAAAAAAAAACTTTTGCTGATAATTTACTCACCCCCATGTCCCCCAAGATGTCCAAGGTTTTTGATGAAAACAATCCAGGATTTTCTCCATATAATGGACTTCAGTGGGAACCAAACGGTTCAAATGAGTTTCAGTGCAGCTTCAAATGGCTATCTAGGACCCTTCGAGTCATGACTCAAAAAAAGATTTGTTTGTTTTGATGAACGAGTTTGAGCAGGAGAGTCACAAACGTGCGTCACAGAGCAGAGCAAGGCGAGCATTTGTGCTTATAAAACTTTTTTTTTTTTTTAAATGAGCGATCGATACGCTAGATAAGACCCTTATTCATCATCTGGTGTCGTTTAAAGCCCTTTGAAGCTGCAATAAAACTCTCATTTGGAGCTTGAACCGTTTGGTTCCCATTGAAGTCCATTATATGGAGAAAATCCTGGAATGTTTTCATCAAAAACCTTAATTTCTTTTCGACTGAAGAAAGAAAGATGTGGACATCTTGGATGACATGGGGGTGAGTAAATTATCAGCAAAAGTAAACTACTCCTTTAATGCATGTCTTTTTAAAAAATATATATTTGATCAAACTTCTGGTTGTAAAAATCTGTCTAAAGTATAATTTTTAACCACTTTTGCAATCCAGTTCAAAAGTTTGGGAGAAGGTAATCTTTTTAAGAAGAAGCTCAACAAGGCTGCATTTTTAGTTGATCAAAAATACTGTGACAACAGTAATTAATACAATTTAAAATAACTTTTTTATTTCAATATTTGAAAACGTAATTTATTTCTGTAATGGCAAAGCTGAATATCATTCTAACATGCTGATTTGGTGCTCAAGAAAAATGTATTATTATTATTATTATTATTATTATTATTATTATCAATGTTGAAAACAGTTGTGCTGCTTAATATTTTTGTGGAAACAGAAATATTTGGAAACAATGAAAAAGTATTTACTGTCACATTTGATCAATTTAATGCATCCTTGCTGAATAAAACCATAAAAAAAACGTTCTTTTACGGACCCAAAACTTTTGAGCGGTAATGTATGTTTTATATACAGCTCTTGATCAACTCTTTAATTCAGTCTAACACTCTTTATTACAATCACAGATGATATAACTAGACTACAACAACTCAGCTATCAGTTTACTAGATAAAATGTTACACTTTTATTTATTCCTCTTACCCAAATGTTTTTAACTCCGTAAGCTGCTCTTCCTTTGGTGACTGTATCCTGTCTCGTTCTCCTCCTGGATCTTGTGGCTCCGTACAAGAGTCAGACTGTCCGTTGTGTTTCTCTGAACTACAGATGGGGCTTTGAGACGACAAAACTAAATAAGCTTCTGCCTCCTGCCTTTCTTCATGACGCTTCTGCTTTCAGTGAAAAAGGTTCAGAGTTAGACATACAAACACATTACATGAAATAAATAAATAAAGATAGATAGATAGATAGATAGATAGATAGATAGATAGATAGATAGATAGATAGATAGATAGATAGATAGATAGATAGATAGATAGATAGATAGATAGTGATATTGCAAAATAGTTACAATAGTTAATATAACTGAATTTTCAGCATCATCACTCAGAAATCATTCTAATGTGCTGATTTTTATGCTCAAGAAACATTCACTTTTATTATCAATGTTGAAAACAGTTGTGATAATTAATATTTTGATAACTATTATTTTCAGTATTCTTCAATGACTATAAATTTCAAAAGAATGAAGGTATTATTATCTTAAAAAAAAAATGTAATTAAAAACTTACGACCCCCAAAATTTTAATAGTAGTCTATTTCTAAAAAAATACTATAGAAGTCAATAGGGTTTAGAACAAACATGAGGTGTGAGTAAATGATAACAGAATTGTAATTTTGGGGTAAACTATCCCTTTAATACTGTGTATTGTAACACTGAATATAATATACTGCTCTAAATCAAATATCAAATGTAATAATGCAATCGCACCGTGCTTGACACTTGTTGAGTAGTCTCTTTTAGGATGCTCTTTGCTCCCTCTATGACTGCCATGTATGAAAACCGAAGCTGATCTGGGGTTTGGATAAGACCCATTCGATACTCTCTCATATCTAACAAAACCTTTTGTATGTCCACAGACAAAGGGTCTTTCCTCTTGTCCATCTACAAAGAGGAAAGGACAAGTCAGTTCCACATAATACATGTCATTTATTATACCTGATAACAGCAGCTTGAGAAATGATTACAATCTCTGTGAAACCTTTGGAATTGTTAACTATTGTGTAACTGCAGTCTTACTAAGACGAGGCAGGTGTCAACCAATGAGAAGGTCCCAGACCGCCCTATTCCTGCACTGCAATGGACCACCGCGGGCCCGTTCTCTGGCCCCAATGAGCCAGACTCTCGAACCTTGAAAAGGAAATTGAGGAATGATGCTGGGGACTCTGGAACACCAAAATCAGGCCACGATGAGTAATGAAAATGGTAGATATCCCTGGTTTCTCCTGTCTAAACATATGGGACAAAATTGAAACAACATTTATTTTTCATGTCTTGTTTAGAGAAGCATTCAACGACGTGATAATTTGACATTGCATTCACACCTTGGTATTGCGAAGTTCTAATATTCTTATTGTGTAATTGGGTTTGACCTCCTCGGACTCCAGATTCACCATAAACCCAGTGTCACTGAAATCCATGTCTCGCTCCTCCTTAGACGGCCAGTACTGTGCACACTTCTCCTGTTCAGCGTCAACGAAAAAAGCAAAAGAACACAAGCCGGATTTTTCAATAATTTCAAAAATGTTTACCAGTATTAAGATTTTTTTTTTTAATCCACATCCAAATCTAAATCCACATCTGCTTATGCATTACTATTTATCAACATACTACCAGATTTCACGACAATTATTTAAAATAACAATGATTTACTCTACTGTTCAGAAGTCCAAAACAAATTACGGAACAATGATAAAGAATCAAAAAAAAAAAATCCAGGACATAGACCTGAACAACGCAATGAATTCTGGGGTAGACTAGGCCTCGAACAATCCATCTGTTCTATCATTCACTGCCTGAGAAACGAAGGATGCATCTAAAAGAGATTTGGAACTGGGACAGCCTAGACGCTATCGGCCTGCGACTGCGGCCTTCGAAGGATGCAGCCTCTGAATTGGGACGCAGCAATAGAGCATCACAGTCCCGCCCACAGCCCGAGAGAGCGTTGGTGCCGGAAGTAAATTTCCCGTTCATTTCTCCCATTGACGTTTTGTAAAATCCATTTCTAAAGAGTTTTAGAGCATGTCTGAGGATAACCTGCTACGGCTGAACTCATAAGTATACAACATATCATTTCGAGTGAAAAAACTAAGAGAAAATCCCAAAAAAGTCAAGGGTACAAGCCTGTGTACATATTTCCATTTCCGAGTAAAGGAACTACTCCTCCCATAAACCACCGCGCCTCACTGTGCTGCGGCAACCGCACATCCAATGGTGTCTCTGAGGTGCGACCAATGAACTTAGCCCTACGTCATAACACGATGTTCAGTCTTCACGTGCCTTCGAGGGTTTCAGACACCTTACACGATTTCCACCAATCAGATGAATCACTGTGGGATTGTTCAGGATTGTGGGTAATGAAGTACTTATCCAATACATCGCGAATTATAGGGATTTATCTTAAAACAAGGTTAGTGCCCCATGAACTTTATTTATATGAGCATATACAATCAACTTAGTACAGCCGTAGCTGGTTTTAAGTCTACCATGTATGGTTACGTTTTAATGGCTTATATCCCTACTGTCAATGGAGAAATTGTATTGAATTTTTACTTCCGGCACCGGCTGTGGGCGGGACTGTGATGCTCTATAGAGTGAATGTTCATTTTTATTAAGCATTTCTCTTTCTCTCGTTCTGATATACTTCTCATACGCGTTGGGCTTGTTTATATCAGAGTGTGCGCGTGCCTCTTTGACGCAGCATACAGGCAGGTTTAACAGGTGAATGAGTTTTCTTAAAATGCATCCTTAATTTAAATGATTTACAATAAGGAATTATTTGTGGTATTTTGAAGTGCCCACAATAACAATATTGCACATGTCCATTGTCGTAATATACTGTGTTACCGTTTGCCGGTTACATGTCTATAACAAGCAAGCCAAACAACAATGTGTGTGTTCACTCACCGAGCCTTTTTCTATAACTCTGTTAAGCATAATAATTGCTTTGCAACGTTGTTCCCAAATCATTAGCCAAAAGTGACCACAAGTGTTCCTCAGGGGACCCTGCAGAAAGAGAAAAGTATCTAATTACATTACTGAATATGCTAACTATTTAAACAAGTTGCCCAATACAAAAGAAATGGAAACAATCTATGAGACATCCTTCTTTGCTCTACAAAAACTCTTTCCCGGCCAGCGTTTTTTGAAAAAGGTGCCAGCCAACATTAGCATTTTTGATCATTTTCGCAAAAGTTTCATGGCACCCAGAATATTTAGATGCATGAATATCTGAAAATGCAATATATTAAAAAAAGAAAGAATAGAGCCTGTGCTTTTAAAATAATGCATTCGTTATACATTTGTTTTTTATCAACACTTGCATTTGGGTAAGTTTCATAAAAATTAAATCAAAAATCTAAGAAAAACTAGTTTTTGTCAAAGGCTACATCCTGATCAGATTCAGAACGATGATCAAAACGTAGTCGAGTCCATAGCCCTATAGCTTGTCCTGGGTCGACATTTCATTCGGTAAAGTTAGGCAGTTTAGAATTTATATATGTCGTTTAATGTTGATGATGTTATTTTACATAAGCATCTGCTTACATATGCTATCGCTTGTTTCTGCATCTTCTTCGCATGTGTTTTGATCAGGAGATTCAGTAGATGCGTAATAGCGCCCCTACCGCAAAACAGTGAAAACACGGAAAGCCAAAAAATTCCGTCAATGGCGGGGAAAGAGTTAAAAAGGTAGGTTTCGTGATTCTAAACTTTAGAAATCCTATAAAAACAGGGTTTAATGTAAATTAAACGTGTTAGTTTAAAACAACCGCATGTGTATTTAGGCCACATAACACATCAATGCAAGTTAGTAAAATGCAAACGTTGGACTTACTTTTTCCATTACTGTCATACCTGTGTCAATATGTACCTTCTCTGGGCCTCCTCCACGGTAATTAAACTTGCATTTATGTAGTCATTCTCTGAATTTTCTAATCTCACCCGACTGTGATCATCTTAACACAAAAATGCGGATTATTAAGCCAGAGTCAAAACAAACATGTTGGCATAAATTTGTGTGAAATTCAACGTAAGCTTATAGAAAAAAGTTTTATCTCAAAGATTATAATTCTGATACACTCGTCATTTACTCGCTCTAATGTAATTCAAGTCTATATGACAATTTCTCAATAGAACCACACAAGGTCACAATTTATTTTCACACATTTTTCTTTCATACTTAATGGAAGTGAATTATTCTGATTAACATCCCTTTTGTAGTTCACATACAGAAAAGTCAGAAAGATCTGGAACAACATGATGCTGAATAAGGTCTTTTTTCGCCATGAACTATCCCTTTAAGGGCAAGATTACAAAATGAGTGAAACATTGTTAAAAATGGTTTACAATGGGAAGAAACTTACAGGGACTGACGTCTCTATATCTATTCCTATTGCGATTTTCTGGGAACTTTGCCACTTTGCAGGCGCACTCCTGAGACTGGTTACGGATTTCCTAGAAAGAGATTACAAAAAAACAAACATCATTGTGAGAACCCTAAGATCCATCCCTTAAAAGAAAAAAAAAAGCACTTATAAAATATTAAAGCTATTCTAACAAAAAGAGGGGGGAGTGTTTTTAAAATTAAATTTAAAAAGAGAATAATATATCCATCAAATGGGGGGGTTGGGCATGCCTATCTGGCAGAGTTTTATAGAGAACTGACAGCTTCGGTTCTTCAGTTCTTGGGAAGTGCTCGTCAGTTCTCAGAAACCATATCAGTGCATGGTTGCGTCTCAAAACCTCGCGAGCTCCCTAACCTGACAGCATATTTAGGCAGCATACACGCACGCAGGGGGGTTTGAAGGTGGCAAAAATACATGGCATTTAGGGTGCTAGGACTGGGAAACCTTGTGGTAAGTTACCAAAAAAATACAGCACGAGTAAGTGGTTTGAAAATGCTGTCTAGGTAAACAGCTCGCTAGGTGTTGAGACACATCCCACGTGTTCACAGGAAGCACCTAGTGAGCTGCTCTAATGTACCGCAATGTGACTCGAGCACTCATGCACTTCACATTACTGCCAGTCAAGTTGTTTTGACATATGGTATTTCGCTGTATGGTTTACTACAATAACACGCTGCCTACTCTCATTTTGCTTATTGACAAGAATGCAAAATATATAAACCAATTTAACTCAATATTCTTGTAAAAACATAAGCACTCGTGTTCAGGTTTACCGAGCTGAAATGATTCACAGAAGAAGAATATTTCAGATTTAGCAGTAAGTCAATGTGGACTGTATTTCTCGGTATTACGCGCATGCGCACTAACGCAAAGCTGAATTACCCATTCGTTCTCACGGGCCGAGTACTTGTCTAGGACAATTAGATAAACATTGCAAATCTACCAGGGCAAAATACTGCTGGTGTCCCAAGCGTTCATCTAAGGAGCGACTCATATTTAAGCTAAAAAATATATAAATAAAGCAGTATGACTTACATTATAAAGGTTTTGCCACTGTCCAGTTGAATCGATGTTCTCAAACTCCTGATCCATTTTTTTCGGGGAAATTCAAACGGAAAATGTTTCAATCAAATGTCGTCTGAGATCAAACGAGGGGCCACTATTCCATTGTTAAAAATTGTCATGATCCCGAAAATGGCAAGAGGAACGGAGCAGTACGATGTTAACCCTCATCAAAGAGGATAAAATTACTAGCACTTTCAGCACCCCCATCGGCTACTTCCGTGTGTCAGTCGAGAGGAAAGCGAGAAACGGCGCCCTCTGTCTGCAAGAGTCGACATGGCTACCTTGATTACTTCCAGGTGGAGAAACTTTTACATGAGATTCATTCCAATAACTCGAATCTTTTGAATCACCTCACCATTCATTTACTTGCTCTTCTTCAAGGCAGGTGACACTTCGCGAGGGGTCGTGCTGAATTCGGAACCGGCTTGGATAACTCTGCCAGCCATAGAAAGATATAGCCTAATACAAGTATAAAGTCGTTGGTAGATTGTGGTTCCCAATAAAGCAAGCAAATATCACGAAATTTATTTTGCCTGCAAATCACGTTTCTCCTCAAATGCATTAGCAGCTCTTTTTTTCCACCACCTACATTCACTTTGAGTGTGATTTATCAAGCTACAGAAAAGGGGACAGTATTAAAAGACTAAATAGTTTCAGTAATATATTTAGTGCTTTTCAATTAAAATTTCAACTAAAATTTTCAATTAAATTGAAATTTCACTCAAAACAGCGAACTAATAAGAGAGCTGAATTCGGAACACTAATCTTACTATGCCATATTTATCTCTATAAGCCAGAAACTATAGAGGCTATTCTGAATTCACTGAGTCAGTGGCCAACAATTTATTCAATTTAATGTGTTCACAAATTATACTTCCAGGAAAAATCAATGAAAAGAGCTCTAGGCCATAGGGTCATTTTAATTTATAGTGGTCATCTTTTCTGTTGTATTTTAGGCCCATAAGTGACATTTAGGGTTATTTGACATTAAATTGTATTGAGAAATGTAATAGTTTATCAAAACGTTTTTCTGGATTTACAGTTAAAGCTACACTGTGTAACTCTTTTAGTTTATTCTTAGCTGAAAACACTTAGTTCTTTCAAAAATATATGTGCTCATTAATGTATATTTTCTTTGTTCAAGTACTAAAGTATTCTCGTGAGTGTATAATATGCCATTGAAAATACATATAATGTCTGTCGCCATGTTGCCCCTCCATCTTGAAAGTACATTAGCCAAAGAGGGACAGACCCGATAATTCAAGATTACGTTTGAGTTAACACTCATAGACGAGGTCGAACTGGAAGCCATGTTAATCTTGGACTACATTGGCCACCGTAGGAGTTAAAATTGGAATTGGAATTGAGAGAAACGGAAACTAATATTCACTGGATGGTCATATATCTTTTCACCGCTACATGGGGGTGAAAATCACACAGTGTAGCTTTAAGAAAGGATTTAAAGTGGCCACAATAGCGAAATTTCAGTATAAAAAAAAAAAAAAACTTACGAAAACCATGTTTAAATGTGTAGCTAACTATTTTGGCGGATTGACTACCAACCGCATTTTTACTACAAATAGGTAGTTAGGTCTGACGCCGTCACGCCGACTCTCCGAAGCTTGCTGCAAACGGTCCTTGCAGTGAACCACTGCTTTGGATTTTGTATTTGTATTTGTACGTCATTTGTATTTGTACGTCACTAGTCACGTGAAAATGACTTCTGAAGCAAACACACTGGGTCACTCCTATAGTGAACCACCTGCTTTTACAGCCCAATCCAGTGTTGACAGATTTGAAAGTTGGCAGCTGTATTTCTTATAAAAGTGAAGCCAAACCATGGCAACATCGTGGGTTGTAGTCAGTGTTTGGATTGGCGTTATTGTTGAGGAGAGTGGATTGAGTTTATTTCAGTGTTGTGATGGAGCCAGCGAGAAAGAGTTTGGGAACACTTTAAACTTATTTCCCTGAATAAGGTTAGTTCGTTCTTCGTTGACCTTTCTGCATACAAATATTTTTACATGATATGGAGCACTACGTGGATTATATATGAAGAGAGATAACCAGTGGGAGCACTACACTGAGAACTGATGTGGCATCAGAAGAATATCAGGCAATATCTGAGTGCATGAAAGTGCAAGCCCCATTCCAGGTGGCCACCATTGAACTTTCTGAGGAGAAGAGAGTATCTGGCTCATTCCCATGATAATGAAACCCTCAACGACACTGCAATCCAGCTGGGACCGAATCTGTCCAGCAGATATATTTTCAGCTCTTGAATCGACAAGTCTTTTGGCATTAGCTACACTACTAGATCCACGATTTAAAACATTTTGGTTTCATAATCATATACAGGCCCAGACGGCAATTGGATGACTAACATCGTGCACAGCATTAATTAAAGATACAGCTCATCAAACACCCAGCCACTCAGCACAGCCAGATACAGCACACAATCTTAAAACTACAGGTCAAGGTAAAGTAAAAATCAAAAGGTTACTTATTAATTACTCGTCATAACATGGTTTTGTTTATAATTTCCCTTGCAGATGAGGTGAATCTTTAGGAGCTGCTGGACAACGATGCAAGTATGCAAGGAGGAACAAAAGACATTAGATGCAACCATAGAGGTCCAGCGCTAAATGACCGATCCCCCACTGGAGCGTTCTGCATTCGTACAAAGCAATATATCATAATTTATACCAGCTTTCTAAACAGTTTTGTGTACATCAGCATCATCTGTTCCATGCGAGAGGATATTCTCTAAAGCTAGTGAAATTGTAAAAAAAAAAAAAATCGGCTTCCACCAAAGAGTGAAGTGTAGAAAATAATATTTGCTTAATAATAATATATCATGATATGCATGCATGCAATAATATGCATGATGTACCCAAAGCACACCCTCTGCCACATTTTTTTAATTATAGAACATATGAACATTGTTACATAAAAACATCATCATCAAAGACAGAAACTTCAAAAACCCTCTGCAACCAGTTACACAAGCACATCCTTTTGGACATACAAAAATTTTAGACCCACCAGTTAACAAGTTATAGAGTTCTGCAGCTGAACAAGATAAAGCTTTCACACATGATACTGCCCTGCTAAAAAAACTATAGCAACCATTACAGAAATTCTATTGGATTTAATGGTTGTAATGGGAATTAGTTGTCTCTGAATTATAGTGGTCTCTGTAGATAAATGTGTTGGGTTCTATTGTTGGGGGCATTAAACCCTAATGGAATATGTCCCAAACATACTTCAAAAAAGAATTCTGTGGTGGATTATGTGGTAAAAGCCAATGGTTCCTATTGGTATTTTAATAGAAACCATTTGAATTTCTGATGGTTTCCAATTTTTTTAAACTGGTCTGATGTTCTGTCCTTGTCTAAAGAAATAACTTTACACACTCATCATGCTTAATGTTTTATTATCAAGTTGAACACAAGCATGAAATTCATCAGTATCAGTAAAATTCACCTACATAAATGTATTTCACAGCACTTCAGCTTTTATCGCCTCGGTAAACACGTAACAAGCCTTGCATTTTATGATCATTAGCTTTGTTGCATTATATTTACTTCACCAGGCGATGGTGCTGCAATTTCTATCTGAATGAGGCTCAGGCTTCGAATAACGAACCATTTTCGACACTCGAAACGCTTCATTTGGTCACTACAAATAGGCCTACCATATGGTTAGTTTTATAAGATTAATTTTCGTAAAGGCAGGCCTTAGACCGTCCAATTGATGTAGATAGCCTATAGGTTTTCCAAACAGGCTTTAATGTGATTAATAAGAGAACGTGGATTTAGTTGATGTTCACGTGCTCCACGAGACCAGCTGCTTCCAATAAATGGTTAATAAGATAATGCTTTTATCCCCCTCACACGTCGTAGTGCATTGTACAACACAATCCTCAGTCGTAGGCGATTGGGTAATCTGGCTGTCTGTTTGGTAGTGCTTGTTTGTAAAGACCATATCCATTTCAAATGGCTGCGTTCACCTTTATGGGTTCATCTACTCCTAAAACTCATTTAAACATGAGAGGAAATATTTTAACTGCCTCTGTGATTTTGATGTCTTTGTTTTTATTGGGTAAGTCTATTTCCATTTAGTCTATAATGCTTTGTTCAAATCAAAGATGGATTGAAACACTTATTTTCATACAGCATTTTAAAAATCACATGAGTGTGATTATTAGTTTGAGTAGCCTAGCCCTAGGCTATGTATAATATGAGTTTAATGGATACCATTTTTCACATTATGTAATTTGGTACCACATGTGCAAAAGTTATGATTTGTGCCATTATAACTAAGGAACTCTGATGTAAAAAGTTGTTGCATTAACTTGGGTGCAATCAACTTGAATGTTATGTAGCTTCAACTTAAATTACATTAAACTGACTTGAGTTGTAAAACGTTTAAATTGATCAGCTTATTCTTAAAGTTACGTTAACATGTCATGCTGATCTTTCTTTGTGTGTGTGCACTACACCATTTAAAAGTAGTATTTTGTTTGCAGGACAATCACTTGAGTGCTTTCGGTGTGATCTTGGATTCTGGGATCTGTGTTACACTACAAAGACAAACTGCAGTGAGAATGAGTTGTGTTATGTGGGAACTGGTAAAGCAGGTAAATTATGCCGATGTTCAGTTTTTGCCGTATTCTTTTGGCAAACCAGTCTCCCTCTGTTACTCTGCCTAACTTTGCCTTCTTTTTCAGCTTCTGTCCTGGATATAAAGGTGATGGGTTGTCTTCCCATGGAGGAATGTAACAAGACAACATATGTAGAGTTTCTTCCCAACAAGACCTTGTACACCATGAAGACCACTTGTTGTGAGGAAGACTTCTGCAACTCTGCCCACGCAGTTCAGATGTCCATAGCTCCTCTCTTGCTCACCATCCTTCTCATTGCCCAGATGATGGGTGTGTTTTGATGTGCTGGTTTTTTTCAACTTGACAAATTCTATTTGTAATAAGGGATTGAAAGCTTTTTCATGTTTACACTTGTTCATGTAGGCTACTATTACTGTTCATTTTACTGTGAATAACCTAAAACAGCCTGCCTTCATGCCAGAGCACGTTTGGATAGTGTTTCTTAGTTTTTGTTCATCCAAAAAGAGGAAATATTACAGAATATATTTATAAATGCATGTTTTCTTAACACATTTTTGCGGTTTTACCTTTAAATAAATGAAGTCAAACATTCATGGTTTCCTGTCTTGTTGTACGGTCA